CCCCGGTGCCGCCCATCGCCAGGGGTCCCCTCGACATCGGAGACGAGGTCCCCCTGAAACTCGGGTCATCCGCTCACGGGGAGTAAGGGGCCGGAGGCCTGTGTCCCCGATGACACATTCCGGGGACCCGAGCCATATGCCAGCCCCCCGGGGGAACTCGTGGCCCCCTCTCCTGAACTTTCGGGGGAGGGGTGAGGGTACACCCTGGCTGGCGGAGCCGCTGCGGGCCGCGGGCATCAACCTAATGAATAATAATCAAGAACAAACAAACAACGTGGAGGAAACACGCTCTGCCAAGAGCGTAGAGGAGGAGGATCGCTCAGTCGCGAGCGACAGCTCACAGAGGTCGCGCACTGGCCCCGCATGTAGCAAGTTGGGGACGCGCGCCGAGGCAGCTGCCTTCGAGGTAGCGCTGTCGAGGGCCGGTTCTGCGGCCTCTCTGATCTCCCTCGGAGGAGAGAGCCGAAAACGGACGGCTGAATACGTTGTCTCCTCCTCGGATTCCGAGGGGGAGTCAACAAAACGTCCTAGGGGGAGGCCAGCTCTAAATCCCGAACATGTCGGGAAATATACTGCCGAGGCAATGGCAAAGAAGGCCGAAAAGGCTAAAGCCCAGCAGCTCCGGAAGGACCACCGGACGATCTTGGATCCGGAAGTTGAGCCGACCTCCACATCAGCCAAGAGGGCTCAAGCGAAGGCTGTCGAACTCGCCCTCGAGTTCGACGATCAACCGATTTGCGCGGTCGCCGCGGTCGCAACACGCGAGCTGGCGACCATTGCCAAGTCGGTTGAGCGATCAAAGAACATCAAGGGCGACATAGTGAGGGATATGTGGACAGCATACACCAAGCTGTCCGCAGCCCTCATGTCAGTCTTTACGAGGGCGGGTGATAGCAGCCTGGCCGCGAACGTAGACCAGAGGGAGGAATGCTCCAGACCCGCCTGGGCGAAGGAGAGACGCCGGCTGAATGAAGAGTTGGTGTTCCTCCGCTCCAGGGTCGCGGCATTGGGGGACGTCCACCTCCCGCTGCACGTCCGGCAGGGACAGGGTGCCGAGGATGAAATGGGACTCGACCATGGAGTGGTCGGGTCCCGATAGCCTGGCCGGCGACCGCAGTCCTATTAGGACTAGGGAAAGGACTGCTCCCGCGGAGAGGGAGGGGCCGCGCGTGACGGTCACAGAGGAGGACCTGAGATCCCCGTATTTCAGGACCCCTCTGCAGGGGGTTAGCAAGCAGCTGAACCCTCTGGCGGCAGTCGCGGATAGGACCGCCCCTGTCGGCAAGAAACCCCCTTCGAAAAATAAAAGGAGGGAGAATGCCGACGGGGTCGATGATGAGGAGGACCGCATCGAGCGGCTCATCGTGCGACTCCTGCCCCGTCTCCTGCGGGAGATGGGGCTCGCCCCGATGACGGCGCCGGCAAGAAAGCCGCGGAACGGTGTGGCCGATGCCACACCGGCGAAGAAAGCGGCCAAAGCTGCTCCTAAAAAGGGAGAGAGCGCACCCAACGCGCCTCCCCCCACCGCTAAGGCGAACCTGCCGCCCCCGGCTGTCTCCAAAACATCTGGGGACGGAATGACGGGGACGGACGCGAACGAGGCGACCTGGGCGCAGGTCGTATCGAGGGGGGCAAAAAGGGCGGCCGCCAAGGCAAAGAAGGCGGAGGAGGAGCCGCCCCGGCCGCCCCCCACGAACGC